GATGCCTGGCTCCCACTCCAGCTGCTCCCAGATCCTGCTATAGCCCCAGTTGGGGTCAGGAATCTGCTCCTGAGAGCAGTCATCCTCCTCCAGCTGCACGATGAACTGTGCCTTGCTGAACTTTCCAACGCTCAACCCTCTCTTTCTGCACAGGGTTACAATGTCCTTCTTCAGGAGACGGTGACAGGCCATCACTCCGCCCTTCCCAAGTTGTTGTGGACTCACAGGCCTGTGTGCTCTCAGCTCCCCACGGTTTCCAGGGAGAACCCCTAGTGTGCCAGCCCTTCTCGAGGTCACCCCCTCTTTGCCAGGTTGAGCTGCAGACTCCTCCGCCCCTGGGACCGCTCGCGGCAATCCCCCGGGGGACCCTGTTACTGCAAAAGTCCTTCTCTCTCCCAGGGTCAAGCCGCAGGCTCCTCCACCCCTGAGACTGCTCATCGCAGTCCCCAGGGGGACCCCACTACTGCACAGTCCTTCTCGCTGGTCACACACTCCCAGGGGTTAACTGCCCCCTGAAACCGTCTCTCTCTGAATCTTCAGCACGCCTGGTCCTCATCAATCCCCCTTCGTTTTACTGCTCCCCAGTCACTTACTGCAGGAAGTGCTGTCCACGGGGTGCAGTAGATCCCACCGCTACCACCAGTTGTCACGGAGTGTGGGGGAGTTGGGTGCAGGTGTCACGGAGTCCCCGGGCGATGCTCTGGAACGGCTCCCTACAAAGCCAGTCAGGACTCTGGGGCAGTCTCCTCTCTGGGAGCAGCCTGTCTGCAGGACACAAAGCTCACCCGGCTTCCACCTTCCTGGGTCTGACCTCGGAGCCTTCAGCATCCTCTGCCCCTCCGTGCGCTTCCCACAGCAAGTCCGCCCAGGTGGGGTCCTGGGGAAGCCAGAGGGTCCTGGCCCCCAACTCCGCAGTCAGACGGGACTCTCAGCCAGCCAGTAAAACAGAAGGTTTATTAGACGACAGGAACATGGTCTAAAACAGAGCTTGCAGGTGCAGAGAACTGGACCCCCTCAGCTGGGTCTATTTTGGGGGGCAGTGAGCCAGACAACAACGTCTGCACTTCACTCCATGTCCCCAGCCAGCCCCAAACTGAAACTCCCTCCAGCCCCTCCTCCTCTGGGCTTTGTCCCTTTCCCGGGCCAGGAGGTCACCTGATTCCTTTGTTCTCCAACCCTTTAGCTCTCACCTTGCAGGGGGAAGGTCCCAGGCCATCAGGTGCCAGGAAATAGGGTGTCGGCCATTCTCTGTGTCCAGACCCCTGCACACCCCTGCCCTCTAGGGCTCTGCAATGATCATACACCCTTACCACACCACCTAGACACTTAAGAACTGCATGGGAGAAACTGAGGCACCCCCACACTATTCAGAGGAAACATTAAGAACAGTCCCACTTCATCACACCGCAGCCTTTGGGAAAGCACCAGGAATGTAATCCAGGGCTGGGAGCCGTTGTTAGTGGACACAGCGGCTTTAAAGCAACAAGAGTCTTCTTTGGCATCACAACATTTGCTGGAAAAACCAAATGGCCCGTGGGAGCATCATGGGCAGCCTGTGAGAAGCAGGTCACCTCCAACGGTTGGATTAGGAGCAGGTTTACTGGAGAGACTCGAAGGCAGAGAGGAAGATGTGGCCAGCACTAAAATTGCCAGATTCTGACTGTTTGAGTGGGACTGGAGGAAAAATTGAGAAATTTCAGTGGGGAGTTAAATAAAATACAGACCGCGGTGTCGTAACAGGGAACATGGGTTTCATTAGCATCTTATCCTCACTAGGATTGAGAAGCCCCCTTTCCAATGCACCAAACGCACCATCTCTGGGTGGGTGGAAACATTTATTCCCCCAACCAAACTCTGGGTCCGCCCCATATACAAACCTGTAGGTTGAGCTGTGGGTCTACTCTGTGTCACTTGGCCTGGGGCATTGAAAGACTTAATAAGTGGATACACCTGACCGGTTGGCTTGTACACGGCCCCCCCCTTTGCTAAAACAAAGGGTTGTGGAAAAGCCTTTGAGCGTGTTGAGTTTGTCTGGGCTAAGCAGGCAAAGCAAACCGGTTACACGCGGCTTCCAAGAAACCAGGGTGGAACGAGGTTTTTAACTTAGGAACAAACAGTTGGGTTTGATTCTCTTTTTCTCCTGTTTATTCACCGGTTGGTGGATATTCCTGTGATGACAGGTGAAGCCATTGTGGATTGAATGAATTGGTGTGTTTTCTTTTTTTAAATAAGTGGTCAAATGTCATGTTTGAAACTACGGAAGGTCACGCTGCTAAAGGCAAAGGCGGCTCTTACCAAACTAACATCCTGGGTTAAGAAAACACAGGCTTGACTCAAGGCTGCTCCCGCACGGGCTGCGAAAGGAGGGTCAAGCTACCTGGACCGAAGGCTGTTGCAGCACGAAATGTCTTGGGAAGTTTGCTTTGTGTTTGCCACGCGTGGCTGGTTGTACATTGGAGAGAGCGCAAGGCTAGCATCGCAGGTCCGAGCTCTGGGCCAAGCGAAATTGCCACAGGGCTCAGCCATGTTGCTGGTGAACCAGATGGGGACAGACCTCTGTGAAGAACAAGGCCCAGGGGCGTTTTGACCCCAGTTGCAATTGGCTTGTGAATGCCAAAGCGCTGCTACAAAGAAGTCTTGTCAAAAGAGTAGGAAAATGCTCGGGGAAAATTGCCTCGGGGCTAAATATTATGCAAACGGCGCATGTTTAACCTCCTGTGCATGGAGCTTTCGCGGACGGTGAGAATGCACCACTGCAAATAAATATGCAAGCAGCCAGCAGCCGGGAAAGTCCAACTTCCCATTTTGGGCACATGGCGAGAAGAAACGATGAGGGGTGATGGGGCTGCGGTGACCTGGGATGCCACTAGGGAGATCCAGGGCCCAAGTGACGGAGAGAGATGGAGCCTCAGGGGACAGAACTGGGTTCTGCCAGTTCCCCTCACTCCCGACCCGCAGCCCCCTGCTAGCCCAGCCCTGAGATCCCCCAGCCCCACCGGTGCCCTTCACTCCCGACCCGCAGCCCCATGCTAGCCCAGATCTGAGCTCCCCCCACTCCCGGGTCTACTGGTGCCAGAGCGGCTGGGCTGGGCCACGAGGACTCCGGGGCAGGGAAGCCGGGGAGTGAGGACGCGCTGCTCACAGGGACACACGTGTGTGTGTGGGGGGGGGGGGGCGGTGTCAGGAAAGGGGAGCAGCACAGACAGACAGAGACATGGAGCAAGGCTCAGCCCCTCCAGCAAGGGGGAAGCACACACACACACAAACACACACACACAAAGCAGTTGTCATCCGCTCCAGCAGGGGGCAGCAGGGACACCCCCCCACAAGCCCCCCCCCCACACACAGCAGGGCCCATCCGCTCCAGCAGGGGGCAGCAGGGACACCCCCCCACAACCCTCCCCCACACAGCAGGGCCCATCCACTCCAGCAGGGGGCAGCAGGGACACCCCCCCACAACCCCCCCACACACAGCAGGGCCCATCCACTCCAGCAGGGGGCAGCAGGGACACCCACACACAAACACCCCCCCACACACAGTCACACTCAGGCTGTGGGCCTCACGAGGCCGTACAACTTGAAACACAGATTCTCTTGCTCAAACTCACCCGCCATGTGTGCAGCCCCCCCGCGCCCCCCCCAGTAGAATGCACCCCCCCCGACCCCACCTCAGCCTGCAGCTTCCCCGTCTCCCCCCAGACCCACCGGTGGCGTGCACAGGGGGTGATTCCTGAAGCGTGACCACGCCAGTCCCCAGACCAGCCATGCAACGTGCAGGAAACGCACCTCGAGGAAGCGGTTTGCTGCGTCACTTCAGGCGTGTGCTGTGCCCTGCACCCCCGCCCAATGCCTGACTCAGAGCGACTCAGCCAAACAGCAGCGCCCGGGGGTGGGGGGACATCCGGAGTCGAACCAAGGGGGGTTGTTAGACCCCAGAGAACTGGACGAAGTTTCCTCCCGGACCAGGACCACGTGCTCCGGAGAAGCCGAGCAGAAGCAGGTCCCAGAGGGGATCCCACCCTCTGGAACCAGAGTCGCTAGCGAAAATTTACACTGACTGAAAACCAAACCCCGTTTGTCCGACTGGAAACATGGTGACCGCATAGGTGCCGACTCCGTGGGTGCTCCGGGGCTGGAAAAAGAGTGGGTGCTCAGCACCCAACGGCAGCCCCGCTGATCGGCTTCTTCCCCTCCTCCCAGCGTCTCCCGCCCACCAAGATCGCCCGTTCAGTGGCCTGCAGGAGGCCCCCGGGGGCGGGGGGCCGGGCCCCGGGCGAGGAGAGCAGGACGGACCCCCCGCGTCCACCCACGACATTCTGTGAATGCAGCCCAGGACGCTACTGCAGTCTGGCTTTGTGGCTCAGGTTCAATTTGTGACCCTCTTTGGCCCCCAGACTCTTCCCAGCTGTACAGTGATCCCCCAGTTTGTAGCTGTGCACTGGGTTCTCCCTTTCTAAGTGACGTTCTTCGCTCTTCTCTCAACGGAATTTCCTCCTGTTGATTTCAGACCAATTCTCCAACTTGTCCAGGCCGTTTCGAACTCTCAGCCTGCCCTCCAAAGGGCTTGCAACCCCTCCCGGCGTGGGATCAGCTGCGGATCTCAGAGACATGCTCCCCACTCCGCTACCCGAGTCACTCATAAACATATGGAAGAGTACCGGCCCCAGGCCTGGCCCCGGGAGCCCACTAGACGCCCTCCCAGTCTGACCACTGCTCGCTACTTTTTGAGGAGGGTCTTTGCACCAGTTGTGTACCCATCTCGTGCTGATTTCTTTGAGCCCTCATTTCCCTGGCCTGCTCATGGGGATGTCAAAAACCGAACGAAAATCAAGCTCTATCTCGCCTTCGGTGTCTCCCCTGTGTGTTAGGCCCAGAGCGTTGTCCATCTTCAGAACCGCCCAGGGCCACACCTCCCACGGGGCTGCCCAGGGCATCAGCTGCTCCCCACACATTTCAGTCATTATTTTGATTCCCTTAGTTACGCTGCCAGCACCGAGCAGTAACCAGGATCCTGAGGTTTGCTGCTGCGTGTTCTTTCTCTCGCCACTTCCGTTCTCTGTCTGAACCAGCCTTTGCTTCTGCTCGAAAGGAAGTAAGGGTGAGGGCTGTGGCCACAGCTGGTAACTGAGACTTCGGAGCGGGACGCGCGGCGGTCCGCTGAAGCCCACGATCACCAAAGGTACGTTTATTATTCTTAATTCTGCGGTAGCAGCAGGTGGCTCGGGTTAGCGATGGGCGTCTGGGAGCGGCCATCCCCCAAAGATGTTGCAGTGGAAGATCAGGGTTCCTCTTGTTCCGGGCAGTGCACAGACCCCGCTATTGTCTCTGTTGTGCCGGGTGCTGCACAGATCCCAGCCGAGATCAGGGCCCCTTTGTAAAAGGCGCTGTGCAGACCCTGACCGAGATCAGCGGCTGCATAAGCGGGTCATGACAGGCAGTCCCCATGCTTGCACTCTAGCTAGACTCAGGAAGGATCAGTCTCCCTACTTAACAGATGGGGGAAACCGAGGCATGGAGCAATGATATGACTCAAGCGGGTGTCTGAGCCGGGAATAGAATGTGGGTGTTCTGAGTCCCATTGTTTCTGCTCAACATGGCCTTACATGGCTAGATTGTCAGGCTCAATGGGGAATGATCATCGGCTCCATGTCTAGCTGGCAGCCGGTATCAAGCAGAGTGCCCCAAGGGTCGGTCCTCGGGCCGGTTTTGTTCAGTATCTTCATAAATGATCTGGAGGATGGTGTGGATTGCACCCTCAGCAAGTTTGCAGAGGACACTAAACTGGGAGGAGAGGTAGATACCCTGGAGGGTAGGGATAGGACACAGAGGGACCTAGACAAATTGGAGGATTGGGCCAAAAGAAATCTGATGAGGTTCAACAAGGACAAGTGCAGAGTCCTGCACTTAGGACGGAAGAATCCCATTCAGCGCTACAGACTAGGGACCGAATGGCTAGGCAGCAGTTCTGCAGAAAAGGACCTAGGGGTTACAGTGGATGAGAAGCTGGATATGAGTCAGCAGTGTGCCCTTGTTGCCAAGAAGGCTAACAGCATTTTGGGCTGTATAAGTAGGGGCATAGTGAGCAGATCGAGGGACGTGATCGTCCCCCTCTATTTGACATTGGTGAGGCCTCATCTGGAGTACTGTGTCCAGTTTTGGGCCCCACACTACAGGAAGGATGTGGATAAATTGGAGAGAGTCCAGCGAAGGGCAACAAAAATGATTAGGGGTCTGGAACACATGACTTATGAGGAGAGGCTGAGGGAACTGGGATTGTTTAGTCTGCAGAAGAGAAGAATGAGGGGGGATTTGATAGCTGCTTTCAACTACCTGAAAGGGGGTTCCAAAGAGGATGGATCTAGACTGTTCTCAGTGGTAGCTGATGACAGTATGAGGAGTAATGGTCTCAAGTTGCAGTGGGGGAGGTCTAGGTGGGATATTAGGAAACACTATTTCACGAGGAGGGTGGTGAAACACTGATGTGTTACTTAGGGAGGTGGTGGAATCTCCTTCCTTAGAAGTTTTTAAGGTCAGGCTTGACCAAGCCCTGGCTGGGATGATTTAGTTGGGGTTGGTCCTGGACTAGAACCTCCTGAGGTCCCTTCCAGCCCTGATCTTCTATGATTCTCTGATCTGGAAAACCCTGTGAGGTGACCAAGTTTGCAGATGATACAAAATTACTCAAGAGAGTTAAGCCCAAAGCTGCGTGCGAAGAGCTACAGAGGGATCTCACCAAACTGGGCAACAAAATGGCAGAGGAAATGTAAGGTTGATAAATGCAAAGTGATGCACATTGGAAAACATAATCCCAACTCTGCATATACAGTGATGGGGACTAAATTAGATGGTCCCACTCAAGAAAGAGATGTTGGAGTCAGTGTGGATAGTTCTCTGAAAACATCCACTCAATGTGCAGCAGCAGCCAAAAAAGCGAACAGAACGCTGGGAATCATTAAGACAGGGACAGATAATGAGACTGAAAATATCGTGTTGCCTCTATCTAAACCCATGGTACGCCTACATCTTGAACACTGCGTGCGGATGCGGTCGCCCCGTCTCAAAAAGATCTATTGGAATTGGAAAAGGTGCAGAGAAGGGCAACAAAAATGATGAGGGGGATGGAACGGCTGCCCTATGAGGAGAGATTCATAAGAGTGGGACTTTTCAGCTTGGAAAAGAGATGGCCAAGGGGGGACGGGAGAGAGGTCTGTAAAATCCTGACTGGTGCCGAGAAAGTGACTAGGGAAGTGTTATTTACTCCTTCTCATCACACAGGGGTCACCCGATGAAATGACGAGGCAGCAGGTTTCAAAGAAACATAAGGACGTGCTACTTCCCGCAGTGTACAGCTAGCCTGTGACACTCGCTGCCAGGGCCAGGGCACCACTTCAGATTGGGGGAAACCTTGAACCATCATTCCAGGAGCTATGTAGGCAGCTGAAAACTCTAGTTTTTTGGCAGATAATAACTTAGAATCAGGTGGCAGGCGCACTGTATCTAATTCCTATATGAAGGAAGAGAAATAGAGATACAAACCCCAGTGAAAGCCCCATTTTACATTTTTGTGTAAATTTAGAACAATCAGGAGATAATACAGCAAGATATTCCCACCCTCAAGCCTTGTGGGATCGTAAGACAATAATAACGGCCAGACTGGGTCAGACCAATGGTCCATCTAGCCCAGTATCCTGGCTACTCCCAGAAGACAATGCCAGGTGCATCAGAGGGAATGAACAGAACAGGGGTTCATCGAGTGACCCATCCCGTCATCCACTCCCAGCTTCTAGCAAACAGGCTAGGGACACTCAGAGCAGGGGTTGCATCCCTGCCCATCCTGGCTAATAGCCATGGCTGGACCTATCCTCCAGGAACTGATCTAGTTATTTTTTGAACCCTGTTCTAGTCTTGGCCTTCACAACGTCCTCTGGCAAGGAGTTCCACAGGCTGACTGGGTGCTGTGTGAAGTTATACTTCCTTTTGTTTAGTAATTTCACAGAGTGACCCCTAGTTCTTCTGTTATGAGAAGGAGTAAATAACACTGCCTTATTCACTATCGCCACTATCTCCGAAAACATTTTACGGTCCTCTCTCATATCCCCGCTCAGTCGTCTCCTCTCCAAGCTGAACGGTCCCTGTCTTTCTAATCTCTCCTCATACGGCAGCCGTTCCATCCGCCTCATCATGTTTGTTGCCCTTTTTGGTACCTTTTCCAATTCCGATAGCTCTTTTTTGTGATGGGCTGACCAGATCTGCACACGATATTCCACATGTGGGCTTCCCATGGATTTATATAGATCCAAGATGTTATTTTCTGTTCTGTTATCGGTCCCTTTCCTAGTCATTCCCAAAATTCTCTTCGCTTTTTTGACAGTTGCTGCCCATTGGGTGGATGTTTTCAGAGAACTCTCCACAGTGACTCCCAGATCTCTTTCTTTGGCGGTAACAGCTAATTTAGACCCCATTATTTTATATGTGTAGTTGGGATTATGTTTTCTGATATGCATTACTTTGCATTTACTTTGCTATATCAGCTTTGGAGCCTTAATACAAAAACTAACAACTTTAACTGGCAAATAAAATCCTTGCAGCATATTTGCTCAGTATCATTGTCCTTACCACGTGACACCAATCACTTTAAAACACCCACATACTTTTAAAATTTAATTTATATTGCCTTTTGGAAAATTATAAGCAAGCAAATATACGCCCTTTTAATTTGTGTATCTCATTTCTCACGAAAAAGTTGAGTCTAAAGTACTTGAGTTTCCCTCAAATATTCTTCTAAAAGGTGGAATAACTAATAAATTAGAGAAGTTCGTTTTGGCACTAGCTTTAAAAAAAAGGAAGAACAAAAAGCTTTTCAGGTGATAATTGGAAAGAAAATTTTACAATAGATTGGCCAACACGGGCTTACCATCAGCTCTAAGAAACCTGTAGGTGTATTTCCAGTAGATAAAAATGTTATCATAGAATATCATAGAATCATAGAATCTCAGGGTTGGAAGGGACGTCAGGAGGTTCTAGTCCAACGCCCTGCTCAAAGCAGGACCAACCCCAACTAAATCATTCCAGCCAGGGCTGTGTCAAGCCTGACTTTAAAAACCTCAAAGGAAGAAGATTCCACCACCTCCCTAGGTAACGCATTCCAGTGTTTCACCACTCTCCTAGTGAAAACGTTTTTCCAAATATCCAATCTAAATCTCCCCCACTGCAACTTGAGACCATTACTACTTGTTCTGTCATCTGCTACCACTGAGAACAGTCTAGAGCCATCCTCTTTGGAACCCCTTTTCAGGGAGTTGAAAGCAGCTATCAAATCCCCCCTCATTCTTCTCTTCCGCAGACTAAACAATCCCAGCTTCCTCAGCCTCTCCTCATAAATCATGTGCCCCAGACCCTTAATTATTTTTGTTGCCCTCCGCTGGACTCTCTCCAATTTTTCCACATCCTTCTTGTAGTGTGGGTCCCAAAACTGGACACAGTACTCCAGGTAAGGCCTCACCAATGTCGAATAGAGGGGAACGATCACGTCCCTCGATCTGCTGGCAATGCCCCTACTTATACAGCCCAAAATGCCATTGGCCTGCTGGCAACAAGGGCACACTCTTGACTCATATCCAGCTTCTTGTCCACTGTAACCCCTAAGTCCTTTTCTGCAGAACTGCTGCCGAGCCATTCGGTCCCTAGTCTGTAGCGCTGCAAGGGATTCTTCTGTCCTAAGTGTAGGACTCTGCACTTGTCCTTGTTGAACCTCATCAGATCTCTTTTGGCCCAATCCTCTAATTTGTCTAGGTCCCTCTTGTGACAGGGTCGGGCCAGAAGGCTACAGGAAAGTAATAGAAGGCAGATATATTAGCCCCAGGCTAAGCAGGTCCTTTTTCCCTGGGTAAGGTAACAGGGAAGGTTCCAGAACAATCAGGAACCTTCTGGAGACAATTAAGACAGACAGGCTGATTAGAACACATGCAGCCAATCAAGAAGCTGCTAGAATCAATTAAGGCAGGCTAATCAGGGCACCTGGGTTTTAAAAAGGAGCTCACTTCTGTTTGTGGTGTGCGTGTGAGGAGCTGGGAGCAAGAGGCACTAGGAGCTGAGAGTGAGAACGTGGAAAGTTGGAGGACTGAGGTGTACAAGCATTATCAGACACCAGGAGGAAGGTCCTGTGGTGAGGATAAAGAAGGTGTTGGGAGGAGGCCATGGGGAAGTAGCCCAGGGAGTTGTAGCTGTCACACAGCTGTTCCAGGAGGCACTCTAGACAGCTGCATTCCACAGGGCCCTGGGCTGGAACCCGGAGTAGAGGGCGGGCCCGAGTTCCCCCCAAATCCTCCCAACTCCTGATCAGACACAGGAGGAGTCGACCTGGACTGTGGGTTCAGAAAAACGGCCAAGCTGAGGGCTGCCATGAAGCTCCAAGGCGAGCAAATCTGCCAATAAGCGCAAGACCCACCAAGGTAGAGCAGAAACTTTGTCACACTCTTTATCCTATCCCTACCCTCCAGCGTATCTACCTCTCCTCCCAGTTTAGTGTCATCTGCAAACTTGCTGAGGGTGCAATCCATACCATCCTCCAGATCATTTATGAAGATATTGAACAAAACCGGCCCCAGGACCCACCCTTGGGGTACTCCACTTGATACCGGCTGCCAACTAGATATGGAGCCATTGATCACTACCCGTTGAGCCCGACAATCTAGCCAGCTTTCTGCCCACCTTGTAGTGCATTCATCCAGCCCATACTTCCTTAACTTGCTGACAAGAATACTGTGGGAGACCATGTCAAAAGCTTTGCTAAAGTCAAGAAACAATACATCCACTGCTTTCCCTTCATCCACAGAACCAGTAATCTCATCATAAAAGGCAATTAGGTTAGTGAGGCATGACCTTCCCTTGGTGAATCCATGCTGACTGTTCCTGATCACTTTCCTCTCATGCAAGTGCTTCAGGATTGATTCTTTGAGGACCTGCTCCATGATTTTTCCAGGGACTGAGGTGAGGCTGACTGGCCTGTAGTTCCCAGGATCCTCCTTCTTCCCTTTTTTAAAGATGGGCACTACATTAGCCTTTTTCCAGTCATCCGGGACTTCCCCAGTTCGCCACGAGTTTTCAAAGATAATGGCCAATGGCTCTGCAATCACAGCCGCCAATTCCTTCAGCACTCTCGGATGCAACTCGTCCGGCCCCATGGACTTGTGCACGTCCAGCTTTTCTAAATAGTCCCTAACCACCTCTATCTCCACCGAGGGCTGGCCATCTCTTCCCCATTTTGTGATGCCCAGCGCAGCAGTCTGGGAGCTGACCTTGTTAGTGAAAACAGAGGCAAAAAAAGCATTGAGTACATTAGCTTTTTCCACATCCTCTGTCACTAGGTTGCCTCCCTCATTCAGTAAGGGGCCCACACTTTCCTTGGCTTTCTTCTTGTTGCCAACATACCTGAAGAAACCCTTCTTGTTACTCTTGACATCTCTAGCTAGCTGCAGCTTCAGGTGCGATTTGGCCCTCCGGATATCATTCCTACATGCCCGAGCAATATTTTTATACTCTTCCCTGGTCATATGTCCAACCTTCCACTTCTTGTAAGCTTCTTTTTTATGTTTAAGATCCGCTAGGATTTCACCATTAAGCCAAGCTGGTCGCCTGCCATATTTACTATTCTTTCGACTCATCGGGATGGTTTGTCTCTGTAACCTCAACCTGTAATCCTCTGTTACTAGGTTGCCTCCCTCACTCAGTAAGGGGCCCACACTTTCCTTGACTTTCTTCTTGTTGCTAACATATCTGAAGAAACTCCTCTTGTTACTCTTAGCATCCCTTGCTAGCTGCAACTCCAGGTGTGATTTGGCCCTCCTGATTTCACTCCTGCATGCCCGAGCAATATTTTTATATTCTTCCCTGGTCATTTGTCCAATCTTCCACTTCTTGTAAGCTACTTTTTTGTGTTTAAGATCAGCAAGGATTTCACTGTTAAGCCAAGCTGGTCGCCTGCCATATTAACTATTCTTTCGACACATCGGGATGGTTTGTCCCTGTAACCTCAATAAGGATTCTTTAAAATACAGCCAGCTCTCCTGGACTCCTTTCCCCCTCCTGTTATTCTCCTGGGGGATCCTGCCCATCAGTTCCCTGAGGTTGTCAAAGCCTGCTTTTCTGAACTCCATCGCTTTTTACAATGGCGATGTGTTTTCTTTTCTTATTAAGTTACTCAGTAACTAGAAATAAAGTCTTAAACATTGTAATCTATTTATACAATGCATTCTCCAGCACAAATGAAACTCCCTCCAGTTCAAGGAACTCAAGGTGTAAAGTCTCAAATCATAAAAACGAATGCATAAATTGAACTTGTATTTACAAAGGACTGATCTAAAAGCCTGTTGCAGCCTCTGGAAACTGTTCAGTTTTATAATGTACTGTAGGAATCCTGAGTATGTACCAATGACCCAACTGGATGATTCTCAATGTGCCATAATGAAAATACAATCTGACACGAGACGTGTTAAATGTTACCAAGAAAATTTGCCCTCTAAGCAATGTCATATCTAGGGTGCACTCAGATATTAAGGAAGTTAAGGAAGAGATCTATTCCCAGGCTGTAACAATCTGGTACGATTAAGAGCCAGCCAGGAACTGTGAAAAAGTCCCTGGGTCCGTAGAATAATTGAAGAAAGAAACCATTTGTATTTGCTGATGGAGACGCCGAGGTACGGACAATAACGTCCTCTGGTTTCCATCATAAGAGACTGAACGTCTCAGGGCAGCACCGACGGTGACAGTGGAAATAAAACGGCCTGGCTTTGTGGGGGAGACTCATGGAGATCAGCACGCACCAGGTCCCTTCTCTGGGCCAAGGCTGGCCAGGACTTGCCCTCCCCTGGCTCCCATCCCACCAGCGGGGGAACGAGGAGCTATTTCCCCGCAGGAAGGGCTTTGAGTGCCCTCTGGTGCCGGGTTGCTAGCGCTGATGCTGGCTGCGGGGCCTGGCGGGGGGACGGGACTGAGGGGCGCCAGGCTCTCAGCCGCCCAGCCGGAGGGGGCTCTGCTCAGGGTGGGGGCGGACAGAGCCATGCAGACAGCTCCACTCAGACTCAGCTAAGGGCTGCGGCTTCCTCCGGTGAGAGCCTGGAGCAGCGGTTCGTTTTCCTGTTTGCACCCCGCTGTGGTAGGAAACTCGGGGGGGTGGGGGGATGGAAGCCCCCCTTGTCATCCCTAAATGGTGCCCATGGGGATGTTGTGAAACCCAGAAGTATAACTGGGTTCAGAAGAGATCAGTTCCTGGAGCTGGTCAGGGACGCATCCCCCTGCCCTGGGTGTCCCTGAGCCTCCGACGCTGGAAGCTGGGGCCGGACACCAGGGGCTGGATCACTTGATAATTGCCCTGTTCATTCCCTCTGAAGCACCTGGCACCGGCCAGGGCCAGACACAGGACTCTGGGCTGGATGAATCTTTGCTCTGACCCACTCTGGCCATGCTGATATATCTCCTAGTGGACTTAACTCGTTTCATTTTCTTTCTAGTCCCGGCCACATTCTAACTCTCAGGTTCAAACCCCCGAGGCTCAGAGACCTGATCGGTCCTAGCTCCCACGCAACAGGTCCGTGGCTGAGACGGGGCTAGAACCCAGGAGTCCTGGCTCCCAGCCCTGGCCCCTGCCCGCTAACCACCTGGCCTGTCGGCCCTTGCTGTCCTGCAGGCCCCGCTCAGCGCCGATCACGACCCCGTGCTCTCCTCCGTCATGACGAAAGCGCTCCTCACCTTCTGTGTCCTCGCCGCTCTCCAGGCGACCGCGGCTGCTCAGAACGGAACGGGTGAGTCGCCGGCGGTGGGGGTGACAGCCTGTGGGGGGCCACCCCGTAGCATGCAGGAGGGGGGTGGTCCCATTTTAAAGAGCCTGTGAGCCCTCTAGCGGAGCTCCCTGTGTTCTGCGGATGAGACACCCCCGAACCCCAGGTCGGTTGGAAAATGGGCGGGCGGAAGGGGGTTCCCCCAGCAAACATTTCAAGCTGTCCGTGGAAAATCGAAACATACAAAATTTCAATCCAGAAAAGCTGCCACGGTGCCTCGTGGGAGCTGTAGTTCAGGGACCTTGTGCTCCTTCTAGGAGGGGAGGTGGGTCTATTGGTTAGAGCCGGGCGGGCTGGGAGCCAGGACTCCTGGGTTCTCTCCCCAGCTCTGGAAGGAGAGAGGGGGCCAGGATTTCTGGGTTCTAGTCCTGGATCTGGGTGGGAAGTAGGGTCTAGTGGTTAGAGAAGGGCCAGTTGGGAGACAGGACTCCTGGGTTCTCCCCCTGCCCCACTGTAGGACAGGAATGGGGTTTAGTGGGTTAGAGAAGGGGGTCTAGGAGCCAGGACTCCTGGGTTCTCTCTCTGGCTCTGGGAGGGGAATGGAGTCTTGTAGTTAGGGCAGGGCCGGACTCCTGGGTTCTATTCTCAGGTCTCAGAGGGGAATGGGGTCTAGTGGTTAGGGCAGGCGGGCTGAGAGCCAGGATTCCTGGGTTCTCTCTCTGGCTCTGGGAGGGGAGTGGGGTCTAGTGGTTAGGGCAGGGGGGCTGGGAGCCAGGACTCCTGGGTTCTCTCTCTGGCTCTGGGAGGGGAATGGGGTCTAGTGGTTAGGGCAGGGGGGCTGGGAGCCAGGACTCCTGGGTTCTCTCTTTGGCTCTGGGAGAGGAATGGGGTCTAGTAGTTAGGGCAGGGGGGCTGGGAGCTGGGTGCATCATGAGACCTGTAGCCCAGGCAGGAGAATGGGAGCAGGAGACAACTGAATTTCACCTCCCATGATGCACCAGGTGCCATTTCTGGCTTCAAATATGACCATTTTTGGCCCCCGAAATCAATTCCGTTTCTGGCCGTTCAGCGTTTCGGCTGTGGGTGGGGTGTGGCAGAGTGCACTGTCATGTGGGCGGGGAAAAACAAAGACAAAATAACGCCCCCCGCTACCCAATGGGCTGAGGGTGGGGAACAAGCCCAGCCAATCAGGAGGAGGTGAGGCCCAGCTGGCTCTGATCAACCACCAATCGCTGCCGAAGCTGCGGGCAGTGGGCGGAGCCCGAAGGCTATATGAGTCGGACCCCGCGCACTCCAGGAGGGCCGGGGGGCGAGAGGTGACACACAGCAGAAGGGGTCACTTAGCCGCAAGCCCTAGAGACGGCGCCAGAGCTGGGTCTGACCCACGGCTCCTGGGGCAAGACGGTGCCACGTGCGGGCACCGGTCAGAGCCTCTGTGAAGAGACCGGTGCACGGAGACCTCACGGGGAAAGGGGCCCGAAGCAAACGGCTGCCGATGATGGTGAAAGCTACGTCGATGCACCCCTGTTTTGTAAGAACTGCTCCGTCCTCTGCTTTCCTGTCTGCCCCTGGCCTCGGTTTCTGGGGCGGCTGGGTCATCTGGGCCCCCAGGCAATCGGGGGAGCGGGGGATGACGTCAGAATATTCAGCCCTTTGCCAAGGTCCATTTGCCATCCACGAATAGCCGGGATGGGAAATTTTCCGCCGCCGTCGGGACCCGTTGGGGTAACATTCGCAGGTTATTATCAGGGGAACGCAGAAGACGTCGCAGCCCCTTGGTGGTTTGCTCCGCTCCTCAGCCCTGGGATGGAACAGCATCCCCTTGAGCTAGGGTGGCTGTAGGTGAGCGGGGCTATTGCACACTTACAAGGGCTTTTGCACACTCAGCCCTTTCCCCCGGGCCACTGGGTAGCAGTGCCAAGTCCGGGGGAAACTGAGGCACGCATCGGCTTCATGAAAACGTGGCGGAACGTGCCCACTTTGTCACAGCCCCTTCTTCCAAGGTAGGAAGCATCCACGCCGCGGCACCGGGAGCCGTGCTGCTATAACGGCTGTAGCGTGGACAGGGCCCAGGAAGGATAAGAGTCTCCCCAAAATTGGGAAGCCAGATGTTGGTTGGGTACAAGGATGAGTTTCTCCCCCCCGGCCCCCTCCCACCCCATCTCTCTTTTCAGGGACGCCGCTGGCCTGTTTCTATTGCAAAACTGGACAAAGCTGCCACCCGGCCCCCCAGACCTGCTCCCCGCCCCAGGACGCCTGCATCATCGTTCGAGAGCACAACACTCTCGGTGAGTCCCCTCGCAGCGGCTGCGGGACGCGCCCGTGCGGCGGGAACCCTGCGCTTGGGCGCGTTGGCCACGCGACTTCCGAGCTGGCGTGTGTCTGAATGCAGCCAGAGGAATCCAGCCCTGAAAGGCAGCGGGGAGAGAGGGGGGTGGGTGGGCTGGAATCGGCTCCCAAGGGCGGTCGTGGGGTCCCCATCAGCGGACGTTTTCCGACCAGCTTGGACGAACGCCCGCCAGGGCTGGTCTCGGTCGCCTTGGTCTGCCCTCAGCGCCGGGTGCTGGACTGGATGCCCTCTCGAGGTCCCTTCCAACTAGCGGTGGCATGGGGCACTCGCCAGGTGATCACAGGGGGGGCCCCGGCAGTGAGGGGCCCCCCAGACCTGGGCACTCAGTTTCTTGTCCCCAGGGACGATATGACAGCCAAAGGGAAGTGCCCTTCCCGCTCAGCGTGATGGCCCAGGGACGGCAGCCCCGCCCGGTGGGATGATGCCACCCCCCCCATGGTTTGGAGGGGCAATGCCAGTCTGGGCCCTGGAATTGAGCCTAGCAAGGAGGGCACCACGGGACGGACCCCCCACTGCTTCCAGCCCTGCGTTCCTACAGAGACGGCTGGTGATGGTTATAAGGTGGCAAGGGGAGGGGGGTGCATCCTGGAACGAGCCACGGCTCAGTGGCCATCCTGCTGAGTGAGGCGCCAAGGAAAAAAATACAGAGGGAAAGGCTGGGGTTCAGGGCCCAATCCGCTGGGGCACCCCACTCTCCTAGGTCGGGGCCTTGGGCGGGAGGCCCCTCTCTCTGCCTGGGACAATCTCTCCCCTAGAGGTGCTATCCCAAGTCAGGCCAGGCATTTCTCATTGGGAAAGAAACAAGGGAGACCCCCAGGCCCATCTAATCTCTGCTCTCGGAGCTGCTCTGTTGGGGGTGGCGAGCGGAATGGGGAGAAGTTGGCTGTGTTTCCCGGTGGTTAGCGCCCTCACCTGGCTGTGGGAGACCCGCCTCTGAGGATCTGCTCGTGCCAATATCTAGCGGTGGCTCCGTCGGTGTAACCGGCGCGTGACGTCCCCTTCTCGCCTCCCTGCCTTTCCAACAGGCGCGGAGAACTCGGGCACGTACCAGTCCTGCGCCAACTCCCGCCAGAACCTCACGGGCTTCCTGGCTTTTTACTTCGGGGCCACGGTGGCCGTGGAGATCCAGTCAGAAATTTGCAAGACCGACGACTGCAACGCCGAGTCCACGCCCTCCAGTACGTACCGCCGCCGGCGGGTCGGATTTGCAGGCGCAGGGAAGCACCTGGGTCAAACCCCAAACCTCCGAGGGGCTACTATTCCCGGCCTCGGGGAAAAGCCAGGAGATTTCTGAAGACCCTGGGGCAAGCGTGCGGTTGGCGGGGAGGTCATTTGTCATGGGAAGCAAGTGGGGATGAGACATGTCCAGGGGAGAGAGGGAAGTTTTAATGCCTTTGTCCTGGTAAGACCTTTCCTTGCATACTGTGGTCCCCCACCTTCAAGGCAGATGAATTCAAAGTGGGCCAGGTGCAGAGCAGGGCTTCTGGGCTGATCAGAGACATGGGGACCTGGTCTTATGAGAGAGAGAGCTTGGTTTGTTTAGCCTGGGATAATGCAGGCTGAGAGGAGACCTGATTGCTCTGAGGGGGAGACTTCTGGGGTGCAAAATGGACCAGTAAGGGGTCACTGCCTGCCCTGTAACCATGGGTGCCTTAAAATGCTCTATGTCCGCCCAGATGCCTGCAGCCTGCAGTCCCTCAAGTGTCTCTGCTCCTGGTCCCCTCCCCTCCGTGGCTGCTGCTTGCACAGGTGACCCCAACCCACGCCTCCCAGTCCCGGATTTCCCCAGTGCTGCAACGTCCAGACCTTTTCCGAGCCAGTCAGAGACACAATCCGCTTTGTTTGCTCCTTTAAAGAGATCCAGCAGCTCGCCCCGGTACCGGCAGTTCGTCATCGCTTCTGTTCAAACGCAGCCCCAGGTGGGCTGAGATCAGTGGTTTTCAACCTGTGGTCCGTGGACGCCTGGGGGTGGGGGTGGGCCACAGACGATGTCTGGGATTTCCAAAGGAGTCCGCATCTCCGTTCAGAATTCTTTAGGGGCCCGCAAATGAAGACGTTGCAAACCTCGGATTTAGGTGAAAAAGTCAAACTGGTTTCTTAACAAGAGGACCTAGGCGACGCGGACAAGGAGCAGGACTGGAGTTAGGAAGGGTGACAAAGAAACGGACCTAAAAAGACGCTTTTGAATGGCTCAGACTCAACCAGCCTCTGCTTTGGTTCGAGGTCCATTTCTTACCAACCCTTTTCTTCGATCCCTTTGGGTGAAGCACCCATCTCGGCCTCCATCGCTGGACAGGCCCCAGCGGACTAGAGCTCCTGCAAGCGGAGAAAGATGGGTCCTTCCAGCGAGGCGGGTTGAAGCCCCTGGGAGCTGCTGGGTTTTGTCTCTCGAAAGAGCAAGGCAGACGCCAGCCCTGACTGCTCCGGCGTGTGCCCCAGGACACGACGCGGGGAAGCAGCCCCGAGGGACAAGAGCGATGGAAGTTGGTGGGGGAGGCGGGCGTGGGAACACACAGCCCGGGAAGCGACCGAGGCTGGAAGTCAGGATGTTTCTAGCCGCCAGAGGAGAGGGGTGGCGGGACAGCTGCCCGCTGGAGGAGTGGGGGAGCTGGCTGGCTGAGCGGGACAATGTGCCGGGTGGACGGCCCGGGAGGGTCCTGCCCATCCTACGTTCTCCGGCCACGGTTTCTTCCTGGAGTAAAACCTTCTTTCTCCCGCTGCCTTTCAGGGCTGCCCATCAGCAGCGTCCGCAACGGGCTGCAGTGCCCGGCCTGCTATGCCCCGGGCTTCGAGAGCTGCGAGAGCGACGGGGCCCTGCACTGCACGGGAGGCGCCAACCGATGTGCTGACGTCGTCGGGACGCTGGCGCAAGGTGCAGCTTCCGCCGCTCCGGGGCGGGTTAAACCCCGGGGAGTCGGGGGGGCGGGGTCCTGGGGCTCTTCCAGGCCGGCTGAGCCGGGGAGCCGGGAACGCCCCTTTGCTTAGCAACAGCCGAAACCAAAGAGGCCGTCGGTTAAAAGGAAAAGCTGCATCATCGGGCTCTGTCCTGGCTCCCAGGCCCCCCTGCTCTAACCACTAGGGCCCGCACCCTTCCCAGAGCCAGGGGGAGAACCCAGGAGTCCTGGCTCCCAGCTCCCCCTGCTCTAACCACTAGACCCCGCACCCTTCCCAGAGCCAGGGGGAGAACCCAGGAGTCCTGGCTCCCAGCCCCATCTACTCTAATCACTATACTCCCCTACGCGAGCCAGGGATAAGAACCCAGGTCTCCTGGTTCCCAGCCCTCCCCACTCTAACTCACTGCACCCCACTTTCCTCCCAGAACCAAGAACAGAACCCAGGTGTCCTGGCTCCCAGCCCTCTCTAACCACTAGACCCCACGTCCTTCCCAGAGCTAGGGTTAGAATCTACATGTCCTGGCTCCCAGGCCCCCGCTCTAACCACTAAATCCCATTCCCCACCTAGAGCAAGGGACAGTCCTGGCTCCCTGCTCCCTTGTTCTCATCACTAGACCCCACTCCCCTCCAGAGCCAAGGAAAGAACCCAGGAGTCCTGGCTCCCAGCCCCCCTGCACATTCCAGCAAGACTTGGAGTCCCTTTGCATATTTTTGGTGAACCGCTCTGGTCAAAAGGGGTAAAATTATTTTACCCCCTTTGCTGAGCAGCAGCAGAATTCTGTGGCCTTGTAGGTCAGTTTTCCACTGGAGGAGAAATCCGTGGGGCAAAGTCTAGTATTTCCTTAGGGCAGTTTGCTTGTTTACACTGTCTCCACCAGTCCTGGAACAGAGGTGGATACAAACAGCATGCAGGCTGTCCCCTTAATCTCTGTTCAAACTCCAAAGGATCTCAGGGAATATTTTTGAAGTCAGAGATTCATGCAGAGAGCAATTTCTCCTGCTGCCTACCACAGCTGCCCTAGAAAGATACTGCATGAAAAAAACAGACCGCAAGCTTGTCCGACTAGGTGAAACATCTTCCTGGAGGGTCAGTCGCTTCATTGCCTCTGTAGGATGAGCACACTGCACCCCCTAAGAATCCCCTGTGCCCCAGAGACTCCCTGCAACTCCCCCTTAGTCCAAGTGCCCCCCATACCCAGGTACCCCAGGCCAGGGGCTCTGCATGGCCCCCTTTGCCATAGCAGAGATGCCGTCACGTGGCGTGCAGGACCTCCCTTTGTTGGGCCAGTGATAACGATTCAGAGCCCAGGGCCTCTTGCAAAGAAGAGTGGGTGCATTTTGAGGACCGCGCAGGAAGAAAAGCGGGGTTCCCCCAACCCCCCGAGGTTTATTTTACCTCCATGTTTGATACTGGTTGCACCGCTGCTGGAATCCTGTGTCCAGTGCTGGTGTCGGGGAACATGGTGGTAAATTGCAGTGTGTGTGTGTGTGTGTTGGGGTGGTGTGTGTGGGGGGGGAGGGTCAGAGAAGAGCCATGAGAATGATCCAAGATGTGGAAAACCTGGCTTTAAAGTCCAGTGGCCTACGCTACCCAGGATGCCACCTTCGCTGATCACAGGGGTCCTTCCTGGCCTGAGAATTTATGAACCGGGTTGGGAGCTACCCCGAGGCCGCTTAGGTTTGGAGGTGAGGTCCCTGGAGAACCAACCGGGGCCCGATCATGGCGTCACAGAAGGGGCTTAGGCTGAGCCGTGTCTGATCAACTCTGGTTTCCCCACACAGGTGGAGTCGCGATCCCGTTTGCAGCCCGGGGCTGCGCTACCCAGGCGGCCTGTGGCATCAAGACGCTGGAATCGGGGGTGTTCACCTACAAACTGACCAAGGTCCAGTGCAGCCCGGCGCCCCAAGCGCAGCCCAGCAGTGCCACCCGGACTCTGGCCTGGGACCCCTTCACCCTGGGCAGCATCGTCCCCTGGGCCTCCCTTTTCCTCTCTGCCCTTCTGGGGCTATTCCTCTGCTGATGCCCCATCTGCGTGACTGGCTGCTCCACAGGCCATTAGTGTCTCAGTATAACCGGCATGCTCTGCCCTTCCCTACCCCGGCTGTGCCTCAGTTTCCCCCTCTCTGTAAGGGGGATAACAATGGTGACCTTCCCTTGCAAAGGTCTTTGGGATCCCTGGATAGGCAGCGGCTTGAGACAGAGTCTGATGCTGCCAGGAGGGGACTCTGCTAATTCCGCTGGAGTTTGGAGCAAAGTGCTGTGCATTATTAATATCCCCTCACAGCTTCTCCCCCAGCTTTCAAAGATCCCTGTGAGGGAACAGAACCCCAGACTCCTGACTCACAGCCCTCCCCCTCCCCGCTCTAACCACTAGCCCCCACTCACCTCCCAGAGCTGGGGATAGAACCCAGGAGTCCTGGCTCCCAGCTCCCCGGAGATTCCAGAAAAGGTCCGAGCCCCCCTGTGCATTTCAAACTCCTCTGAATAAAGCATGACCAGAGATGCAATCGCCCAAGAGCGTCCGTGCATGCGTGTGTGTTCGTGTGTACCAGCTCTGACCACGTCTCCTCCGCTTTCATGTGTCTCTGACAAACACCCGTGCTTCAGGGAGCAACTCTGCCTCCAGAACTGACTCCAGACAGAGGCTGCAGGGCACAGCAAACACACCGGCTGTTTGCACACTTCCCTCCACACAAAAACCTTGCATAATTCCCCCCCACCCCTCCAAAAAAACTAGCAAAACCCCAGCACATCTCCCCACAAGTCAAAACTTGCTCCACAATCAGAAAAGGTCCTGCTCAGGCTAAGTGTAACAGCACCACCTGGTGACGCCTTGCCTGCCTGAACGATATTCTGGAGTACCCCCTATTCACTATTTACGTATTGTTATGCTGAAGGTTGCTAAGGGCTGCTAACAGGTGACTCTTGGGTGCAAAGACAGCCACAGACCTCATGAAAGCCGATGGCTGTGGCAAGCACCTGCCTTCAGGCTCAGTTCAAGGAGCAATTAAGCCCTCTAAATAGCAGAGAGAGCTAGGAAAATGGAGGTGACCACCCAAGGCACGTGGCTGCTCAGAGATGATCCCCATCGGCTGAGGGGAACCAAGGCACTAGGAGGTCAACTGCTGCTGCCGTGAGGAGGAGGCAGGAAGCCAGGAGGACTAGTTTGTGGTTTCTTCCATCGCTTTTCGCTGCAGAGAGGAAGAACAAAGGCCAAGAGACAACTGCAAAGATTCCAGCGTTGCCAGTGTAACCCTTCTGCCCGTCAGAGTTGGCAGCAACAAGGGCCGGGGTCAATATCTAGGGGATCCATTCCAATAACACAATGCAAACCGGCTCGAGCCCCCACCCAGTGACCTGGGACAAATATATACCACCCCTGCTGGGTGCCTCCAAGAGACAATACTTCCCCTCTCGCAAGCACAGAGTCTGAGTGTAGCAAAAAGCCTTTTAATACCAGAGAGAAACAATGTGGCATTATGTTGGGGGAACACCACCGACAGGATTCATAACACAACCCATGAGCAAAAAACCCACCCCAAGCAAATTGGGGCGTGTCCTTTCCCTTTGGTTCTTGAGTCCAGTAACCCAAAATCCCCAAAGTCCAACGACCCCAAAGTCTCTGTCCCTGGTCAGGGCAGCCCCAGAGTTCAAAAGTTTATCTGCAGAGTTTTACCTCCCAACCTGGGTGGAGATGGGGGGAGAGTTAAGGGGCTCCTTACGTGGTCCAAAGCTGATGGCCCCACCTCCCCATGGGGCTCCGCTCTGCCAGCTGCCCCATGAGCTGCTCCAGGCATCCGACAAACTGCTCTGCCCTGCCAGCCATCCCGCAAACTGCTCCACCATATAGCTTCAGGCTCCCCCACTACTTAACACAACACTCAGGGTATGTCTACACTACGGAATAAGGTCGAATTTATAGAAGTCGGTTTTTTAGAAATCGGTTTTATATATTCGAGTGTGTGTGTCCCCACAGAAAATGCTCTAAGTGCATTAAGTGCATTCACTCGGCGGAGCGCTTCCACAGTCCCGAGGCTAGCGTCGACTTCCAGAGCGTTGCACTGTGGGTAGCTATCCCACAGTTCCCGCAGTCTCCGCTGCCCATTGGAATTCTGGGTTGAGATCCCAATGCCTGATGGGGCTAAAACATTGTCGCGGGTGGTTCTGGGTACATATCGTCAGGCCCCCGTTCCCTCCCTCCCTCCGTGAAAGCAAGGGCAGACAATCGTTTTGCGCCTTTTTTCCTGAGTTACCTGTGCAGACGCCAGACCACGGCAAGCATGGAGCCCACTCAGCTAACCGTCACCCTATGTCTCCTGGGTGCTGGCAGACGCGGTACGGCATTGCTACACAGTAGCAGCAACCCCTTGCCTTGTGGTAGCAGACGGTGCAATACGACTGGTAGCCGTCATTGTCATGTCCAAGGTGCTCCTGGCCACGTCGGCTGGGAGCACCTGGACAGACATGGGCGCAGGGACTAAATTTAGAGTGACTTGACCAGATCATTCTCTTTAGTCCTGCAGTCAGTCCTATTGAACCGTCTTATGGTGAGCAGGCAGGTGATACAGATTGCTAGCAGTCATATTGTACCATCTTCTGCCAGGCAGGCAAGAGATGAGGATGGCTAGCAGTCGTACTGTACCATCTTCTGCCGAGCAGCCATGAGATGCGGATGGCATGCAGTCATTCTGCACCATCTGCTGCCTTCCAAAGATGTAAAAGATAGATGGAATGGATCAAAACAAAAAATAGACCAGATTTGTTTTGTACTCATTCCCCTCCTCCCCTGTCTAGGGGACTCATTCCTCTAGGTCACACTGCAGTCACTCACAGAGAAGGTGCAGCGAGGTAAATCTAGCCATGTATCAATCAGAGGCCAGGCTAACCTCCTTGTTCCAATAAGAACAATAACTTAGGTGCACTATTTCTTATTGGAACCCTCCTGCCTGAAATACTCCTTGATGTAAAGACACCCCCTTTGTTGATTTTAGCTCCCTGAAGCCAACCCTGTAAGCCGTGTCGTCAGTCGCCCCTCCCTCCGTCAGAGCAACGGCAGACAATCGTTCCGCGCCTTTTTTCTGTGCGGACGCCATACCAAGGCAAGCATGGAGGCCGCTCAGCTCACTTTGGCAATTAGGAGCACATTAAACACCACACGCATTATCCAGCAGTATATGCAGCACCAGAACCTGGCAGAGCGATACCGGGCGAGGAGGCGACGTCAGCGCGGTCACGTGAGTGAGCAGGACATGGACACAGATTTCTCTGAAAGCATGGGCCCTGCCAATGCATGCATCATGGTGCTAATGGGGCAGGTTCATGCTGTGGAACGCCGATTCTGGGCTCGGGAAACAAGCACAGACTGGTGGGACCGCATAGTGTGGCAGGTCTGGGACGATTCCCAGTGGCTGCGAAACTTTCGCATGCATAAGGGCACTTTCATGGAACTTTGTGACTTGCTTTCCCCTGCCCTGAGGCGCATGAATACCAAGATGAGAGCAGCCCTCACAGTTGAGAAGCGAGTGGTGATAGCCCTGTGGAAGCTTGCAACGCCAGACAGCTACCGGTCAGTTGGGAATCAATTTGGAGTGGGCAAATCTACTGTGGGGGCTGCTGTGATGCAAGTAGCCCACGCAATCAAAGATCTGCTGATATCAAGGGTAGTGACCCTGGGAAATGTGCAGGTCATAGTGGATGGCTTTGCTGCAATGGGATTCCCTAACTGTGGTGGGGCCATAGACGGAACCCATATCCCTATCTTGGCACCGGAGCACCAAGCCGGCGAGTACATAAACCGCAAGGGGTACTTTTCGATAGTGCTGCAAGCTCTGGTGGATCACAAGGGACGTTTCACCAACATCAACGTGGGATGGCCGGGAAAGGTGCATGATGCTCGCATCTTCAGGAACTCTGGTCTGTTTCAAAAGCTGCAGGAAGGGACTTTATTCCCAGATCAGAAAATAACTGTTGGGGACGTTGAAAAGCCTATATGTATCCTTGGGGACCCAGCCTACCCCTTAATGCCATGGCTCATGAAGCCGTACACAGGCAGCCTGGACAGTGGTCAGGAGCTGTTCAGCTACAGGCTGAGCAAGTGCAGAATGGTGGTAGAATGTGCATTTGGACATTTAAAGGCGCGCTGGCGCAGTTTACTGACTCGCTTAGACCTCAGCGAAACCAATATTCCCACTGTTATTACTGCTTGCTGTGTGCTCCACAATATCTGTGAGAGTAAGGGGGAGACGTTTATGGCGGGGTGGGAGGTTGAGGCAAATCGCCTGGCTGCTGGTTACGCGCAGCCAGACACCAGGGCGGTTAGAAGAGCACAGGAGGGCGCGGTACGCATCAGAGAAGCTTTGAAAACCAGTTTCATGACTGGCCAGGCTACGGAGTGAAAGTTCTGTTTGTTTCTCCTTGATGAAACCCCCCGCCCCTTGGTTCACTCTACTTCCCTGTAAGCTAACCACCCGCCCCTCCTCCCTTCAATCACCGCTTGCAGAGGCAATAAAGTCATTGTTGCTTCACATTCATGCATTCTTTATTCATTCATCACAGAAATAGGGGGATGACTACCAAGGTAGCCCAGGAGGGGTGGTGGAGGAGGGAAGGAAAATGCCACACAGCACTTTAAGCACAGCACTTTAAAAGTTTACAACTTTAAAATTTATTGAATGACAGCCTTCTTTTTTTGGGGCAATCCTCTGTGGTGGAGTGGCTGGTTGGCCGGAGGCCCCCCCCACTGCGTTCTCGCGCGTCTGGGTGTGGAGGCTATGGAACTTGGGGAGGAGGGCGGTTGGTTACAGAGGGGCAGCAGTGGCAGTCTGTGCTCCAGCTGCCTTTGCTGCAGCTCAACCATACACTGGAGCATACTGGTTTGGTCCTGCAGCAGCCTCAGCATTGAATCCTGCCTCCTCTCATCACGCTGCCGCCACATTTGAGCTTCAGCCCGCCACTTACTCTCTTCAGCCCGCCACCTCTCCTCCCGGTCATTTTGTGCTTTTCTGCACTCTGACATTATTTGCCTCCACGTGTTCGTCTGTGCTCTGTCAGTCTGGGAGGACAGCATGAGCTCGAAGAACATTTCATCGCAAGTGCGTTTTTTTTTTTCTTTCTAAGCTTCACTAGCCTCTGGGAATGAGAATCATAGAATCATAGAATATCAGGGTTGGAAGGGACCCCAGAAGGTCATCTAGTCCAACCCCCTGCTCGAAGCAGGACCAATTCCCAGTGAAATCATCCCAGCCAGGGCTTTGTCAAGCCTGACCTTAAAAACCTCTAAGGAAGGAGATTCTAACACTTCCCTAGGTAACGCATTCCAGTGTTTCACCACCCTCATAGTGAAAAAGTTTTTCCTAATATCCAATCTAAACCTCCCCCACTGCAACTTGAGACCATTACTCCTTGTTCTGTCATCTGCTACCATTGAGAACAGTCTAGAGCCATCCTCTTTGGAACCCCCTTTCAGGTAGTTGAAAGCAGCTATCAAATCCCCCCTCATTCTT